TGGCTTGGAAATATGACTCGATCGAAGCCTCCATGAAGTGGATGGCCGTTATACGTTATGTTCACGGAAAACAAAAAAACAAAAAGAAGTTCGCCGTTAACTATAACTTTGTTACAGCTGAAGTTAGAATGCGCAGACATTTGAAATAAGCGAAACAAAACCTAAACCAGAAAACGATGTAAAAATATCTAAGAGTTTTAGTACAGCTCACAAGTGCGCACGCACATGAATGTTAAATTCAGTCTGCTACCGAACAGCTATGCTACGTTTACAAAGATGCTTTTGGCCAAATGAACCGACAAAACTTGTTAAGACTGACAGCATCGCCTCAAGACTCGCCCTCACCTGACAGTCTTTCACTAATAAGACAGCACGCTAAGATTTAATACTTTTTCGAGCGGTTTCGAGCTACTTATTAATTAATAATGAATCACCCGATAAGTAGTTTGTCCACTTGTGCAAAACCCCCTCCATAGCCCGGCGACAACGATAAAACCCACCGACCAGTCGGCGACGGAGGAGCGAACCGGTGCGAGCGATACACTGCATTGGCCTGGCTTTGCCCAATCAGAACGGAGTAAACTGGAACAGAAAGCTGCCGATTGGCCGAAACTCATTCACACCACCCCCTCCCGCTACGACGGAGCGACTAGGGTGACTAATAACGTACTAATAAGACCCACCAGCCAATCGCAGCTCAGAGGCGACACGAGTAGGGTTTGCTGGGAATTGTAGTCCTTAGTTACAGCCAGTTCTTGAGATGAGCAGTAACAAACTTTAGTTGGGTGGTTCTTCAAGGGAGAAGACGCTATTGGCACGTACTGATAGTATTAAGTGCTCGCTCGATTCCACCCTCAACCAACACGCTGAGAGAATTGCCAATGTACCCAAATACGTTGAACATAAGATTTCAGGTTTGGAAACGTGATGCGTGGAGCATGAATTAATACATGCGTCCAAATCTAGAGAGGCTTGCATGCCGCACGGGAATTTTACCTTAGTCCTAAATTACGGATTCGCGCACGTGCTCTGAAATTGACCGTGCACATATGTACAGCATAGCTCCAGATTCCCTTCCGGTTTGCATCTCACTGGCACACGCTATCGCATGTAAACGTTTTGCATTTTTTTTACCCTTGTTGAAAAAAAACTACATTTCCCAGAATGCAGCTGCTCAGGCCCGGATATGGGAGCCGGCTGCTGCGCTCAAGAGCGGTTGTATGTTGCTGCTGAAGAGGCTGTGAATGAAAAACACCGGTTAATTTGTTCAAAGGGGGGTGTCCGGAATCCGAAATTATCACGTTTTCGTTCCGTAAACGGGGAATGAGCGACGAGAAAACCCCGGCTAATTGCAAGAGAAACTCTGGGTGCCCAAGGTAAGCCCCGAGCACTACCGGGGGGCAAGTTGCAGAGAATCGTGCCTTTCGCGTGCGAAAGAATGAACGGTGTGTGGGATTTCCCTGTTAAAATATATTCGTTTAGTATCCACTTATTTCCCCCTTAGCAGAAAACAGGATTCTACAACAAAGGCTTGTTTCGTTTTTAATACGAAATTATGCACTAAATTGTAACGCAAACATGGCTGAGTAACTTGCATTTATCCGTTACCTTGACGCGGTCGTTTGCTACGCGTTTTGTTACAGTCCCAATAAACATTTGGGTTATGAAATTCTTCGTTCTTTCCTCCGGCTGATATGCCTTTAAAAGGGGTACCGTTACCGGTTTGCTCGCACACATCTTAATAAAACGACCGCGTTTCTCCCTTGAACGCACTTCTTCACAATGTTGAGAATTCGGATGCATTTCTGCTCGAGACCGATAGTCAGCTGCTATTCCGACACCTCGAAATCCTGACCCATCACTCTGTTTCTGCTTTCTTCCCCTGTCGAGTCCTTCTTTTATCTCTCCAGCTACCTCTCCAATATCTATCCGCGGGGGGCAATTTAGGGATGTTGGCCCAGGTGTTCCCAATTCTGGTACTAAGGGATTCACATCCCCGCTGGTTTGTGCGCCATCTGAGCGCATAATTACACGATTGTTCCCTTAATAGGTTTGAATTCAAACTCTTCAATCGTTTTCAGTTCCTAAACATGCAGGACAGGGGTGTCCGGTGCAGGAACCGGAGGGCAGCTTTTGACAATGTAAATAAACACATGGATCAACTCGATCAGTTTAACAGCTTCTCAAGTACCGCTGCATTAAAGAAACCTGGAACAGACACTTGCAGACACTGATGTAGGAGGCTGTCTTTTAACTTGGTTGTAGTTCTTAAGTAACTAGGATCTCCAGTCTTTGAGTAGAAGAAACTTTCAAAGGTTCTGACCAAGCAATTTGTTGATTCAATGAAAGATCTCGGCTGCCATAAAAACATATGTCTGTGGGATCCCAGGAATAGGATTGGGAAGCCCCGTACTAGCATATATCCTAGAAAAAGTAGGCATTATTGGTATTAATTACTTAATTTTAATTAATTACTTCACTGAACATCAGTTGCTTAATTAACCCAGTTGCCGAGGATACAATAGCTGTTTCCTCACTCAATTTGTCAGAGTGTCTACTAGGAGGAATGCCTGTATTGATCTAGTCTTTTCAAACAAGACTTTTTTGTTTCATTCCCCCTCATCAGTATTGAGCAAATGCTGGCTTTGAACCCCGGAAAGACCCCTATCAGTTTGCTGCAGGAGTATGGAACGAGGATAGGGAAGACCCCGGTGTACGATCTGCTCAAGGCTGAGGGACAAGCACACCAGCCCAACTTCACCTTCCGCGTGACCGTGGGTGACATCAGCTGCACAGGTGGGTCGCCGGGCAGGCCGCGAGTCTGCGCCCGGATTTCCCTGGTGCGTTTCGACGGGCGACGTCATCAGTACTGCAGCCCTGTCCTCTGAGAAAACAGGGACTCCGTGATCCACGATCTGTGATCCTAATTTTAAGACAAACTTCAACTTTGAAACTGTAGATTGAGATATAAAAGAGAGCCAGCAGGAACTGGGGGTGAGATTCTGCCTGTGTCTGCCTTTGGGATTTGCCTTTAGCCAGAGGCATTCCAGAAGAACAGCTTATTTAATTTTATCGATATGGATTAAACTTTGCTTTTTTTTCCAGGAGGATTGACTCAATTACTGACTCAATTAAGGAGACCTTCCTGCACAGGCCTGACTTAGCAGGCAATTTTAAAAGATCTTACAAACTAATCAATATAATAACAGTGCTGGTTCCAGCCAAGCTCTTGACTTAATTGACCTAACACATTGCTTGCAAACTTTTGCACGTTTCTGTATACTAAAAGTTGGCAATCATAACTTATTAATTGAATGCAGCGGTTTAAAGGTCCCCTCTGAAATGTAGTCCTATTAATAGGTAAATTAAGAGTTCAATTACCTGACTTGAGAGATCAGCTGGAACTTGAATCAGCAGCGGTGGGTGTGTCCAGGGCCAGGGCTTGTAGATCCTGATTTAAGGAGAGCTGTGAGAGCTGCTCTTGAAACCCTGCCTTGGGAAGTCCTGCTGAAAGCTGTCCTGGGTCTGTGTTGCAGGTCAGGGGCCTAGCAAGAAGGCAGCCAAGCACAAGGCAGCAGAGGCAGCACTCAAACTCCTGAAGGGCGGCACCATGATGGAGATATCAGCTGATGGAATCAGGTGGGTGTGTCCGGTGCCTCTGTTACTCATAATAAAAGTGTCATCTTAGTCTGCAATGTCCACTGTTATCATTTCTTCAGGCAGTGATTTTGCATGCTTTTTATTTCCATAGACTTGGTTTCAGGTAGTGTTTACAAATAGTATACCCTCCTCCAATTAGTCAAGATTCACCTTTTTTATGGTCCCTCTGTCGGCTTCCACCTGTTTACATGAGTTGTACTTGGACCTGGTGCCATTCTTCATAAACATGGAATGGGAGTGAATCCCGAATCTTAAATCTGCCTGAACACCTGCATTTGGACCCAGGACTACTCCTACTCTGGTATAGCAGGGAGTTGACAAAGAGGGTGTTTTTCCGTTTTCCCCTGTAGTTAAAGGCTGAGTAGTTATTTTCGGCTCAGACCTGGGTTGGTGGCCCCCAGCGAAGGGCGCGATCATGAGCAGTTCGTTGACTTGAACTTGGTGTGTTTCTTCCTATCCCAGCTCCCAGTCTGAGGCAAAGGTCTCCAACTCCGTGCAGCAGGCAGAGTGCAATCCCGTGGGTGCTTTGCAGGTATGCTAAACTGGCTTGGACACCAGTAGAAGGGCTTGCTCTGGCTGGCAGCCTTAAAATGGGATACTACAGGGGAATTTAGAAAGGGAGAATGGGAGGCCTATGGCTACCTGCCTCACCCATGGCAAAGGAAGTCAAAATTCGTTACTGAGCAACTTTCCCATGTGGGATCCCATTCACATTATATAGAGATCTTAGAGCTCCAGGCTGCAGTCTCCTAAGGATAGAGCAGCTTTCTTTGCTAGTGTTTGCCCAACCGAAACAGTGTTGAACAGAGTGTTTTACGGAATTGTTTTCCTTTTGGGTTTCAGGAAGTGAATAATGGAATAAAAATGTTGTATACTTGAGGTATTTTGCTGTGTTCTGGGCTTTGCGATATGCCGTCTGACACGGGGCGCCCTGGAGACGGAAACCAGCCCTGGCGATGCTGTGACTCCTCCATCTTGTTCCTGCTCACCCCCACTCCCTGCTTCCCCCTTCCTGTAGGAGCTGGTGGTCCAGAAGGGGTGGCGGCTGCCGGAGTACACCGTGACGCAGGAATCCGGCCCGGCGCACCGGAAGGAGTTCACCATGACCTGCCGGGTGGAGAGGTTTGTGGAGATCGGTAAGAACAACGGGGACCCCCTGCCCCATCCTGCTAACGCCACTGCTCTCTCCTGCTGACCCTGAGCTCATCCACCGATCCACCTACCCACCCACACAGCGGATACTGAACAGCTCTGCCGTGGGGAATTTGTGAAGGCACTGACTCTAACATTTTAAAACATACCTGGCCAATCTGTTGAAGCTATGATGAAAGGGGAACAAATGCTCTTTGTATAATGAATCGGCAGTGATGAGTGCATTTCACACCACAGTGACACTACGATGTACACGGTACCCTGTACGACCTCCAGTCTAGAGTCGGAGTTGCAATGTATATGTAGTGCCATACCGCTGTCATTGTGTGCGATGCAACAAAACGTCCAGTGACCCCCTTACATTGCAAACATGCTTGAGACCTGGCAAATTTTGCTCCTTTATTCATTTTAAATTTAATGAAACACACACACACACACACACACACACGGCGACATGCTTTTTAGATACTTTTAAGAATCTAAAAGTATGAACTGAAAATATGTCCCTATTCATTGTTGTTCGCAGCTGTAACGTTGGCGTGTTTTAACACCTCAGAAGTTCAGGGTTCTTTCCCAGATCTGGGGGTGGCAGCTCTCTTTCACTTCTTTGTTCTTGGAGCGGAGGGGGGATCCCTTCTCACGCCTCCTCCCTCTACCGAGTCTGGGGGTTTTCCTTTCGATCTTTAGCCGTGATGTCACAGGGCGTACCAGAACCAGATGAGATTTTCCAGGTCTGTTTTGGCACCCTCTACACCCGCCCTCCTACCCAGACTTAAAAAACAAAAACGCGTTCCCGCCGTCCTGGGTAACTTCTCCCTGCGTTCCCAGGCAGCGGCACTTCCAAGAAGCTGGCGAAGCGGAACGCGGCGGCGAAGATGCTGGCACGCATCCACGACGTGCCGGTGGACCAGCGCAACGGCAACGAGGCCGACCCCGAGGACGACCAGTTCTCGCTGGTGAGGAGGAGGAAGGGCGGAGACTTGAGCAGGCTCTGCTGGAAGGGCAGTTCCTCTCGAGCTGTGTCAAAGCCTTGGAGGGTGATGCATTACACACTCGATACAGGACAGCCACTCGTGGCAAGTGGTGCTAACTTATTGTGTAGGTGAAGTCCTCATCTGCGGCACCCAAAGTGTGAAATATCGGTAGCGCACAGCTGTCTCAGGCAGGGACACGCAACCAGCCCAGTGATCAGCTGGTCCAGGGAGGTTAAGATGGAGGAGAAAGAAGCAGCAGAGGCAGCAGGTATGGGTTAGAGTGAGCAGGTAGCCTTGGCTTCCTTTCGGGGTGGGGGGGGTGCAGATGAGGACAGGAGAAGATAAGAGGGGGGTGGAGTGAGTTGAGGCAGTCTGAGTTAAGAGTTGAAAAAAGTATCTAAAGAATGCCAACCTGGCTTACTACAGTATGTGATCTTTGCAAGTTCAGATGTGATGGGGGGGCAAAATGGGTATTGTTGACTAAATCAAGTTTGTTCTTTTTTTTTTTTTTTTTTTTTGCAATTTGCTTTTTCCCATTGTTCTCAGCACATGGGTGTGAAGCTGGAGAGCGGGAAGTTTAAGGGCTTCGGCTGCACCTGGGACTCCCTGCGCAACTCAGCCGGGGAGAAGATCCTGCAGCTGAGGAGCCATCCCCTGGGGCTGCCCAACTCCAACTTCTGCTCCCTCCTGCAGGACCTCTCCCAGGAGCAGCGCTTCGACGTCAGCTACCTGGACATCGGTGAGCTGCCTGGCTAGTCCGCGGTCAGGCAAGGGGGTTGGGTGGGGGGGGGAACGGGCGGCTCTGTAAAAGGATGAATCTGTAAAAGGATGTGTTTTAATGAGGAGGAACCTTGCATGGGTATGAAAAGGATGACGTGGCTGGGTTTTTCAGCCTTTTCTTCGTTGAAGTTGGATATGCTGGGGTTACTGAGTGCAGGTCCTGACGCTCCCCTCCATGAGCGTTAAGGATTTGCAAGTGTAGGGGTAGGATAGGAGTGACACAGAGAGGTGCACAGGAGAGATGGGGAGGTATGTGAGTTTGATTGTTGCGTGTGAGGTACATGGAGGGGGGTAATGGGGTGATTATGTGATGGCTCCTAAGGGCCTTTCCTACTTTTCCTCTGCATGCTAATTGTTTTTTCCCCAATGCAAATGCAAGACCTGGCCAATATTTACCTAACCAGCCCTGTATTCCTATTTACACTAATCCTCTCCAGTCTCATGGAGGTCTAGTGCAGTAAAGCGCCAGCATTGCACAGGTCACCAGGGGAGTTCCAGCATCATGTTGACATCTGACCTCCGCAGCCGCGCGGCTCTAACGCGTAGCGGGAGGCTGGTGCAGTCGTGTAACCAAGGCCCTGTTTTGTATGCCCACCCCAGAGGAGCGCAGCCTGAGCGGCCTGTGCCAGTGCCTGGTGGAGCTGTCCACCCAGCCCGTCACCGTGTGCCACGGCTTTGCGCCGACTAAGGACGCCGCCCGTGCCAGCGCCGCCCACAACGCCCTGCAGTACCTGAAGATCATGGCGGGCGGGAAGTAACCCACTGCAGGCGCCCCCAACCCCCAGATATGTCCTACCATCGTGACTGCTGGTGGATGTTACTGTCAGCACAGACTCAGCCCTCAGTGGGGACAAGCTGGGAATTCCTGCACACACGGACATCCCAGTCCACCAAGGAGAACCAGGATCCAGAGCAGGCACTGGGCCAGGAAGTGGCGAAAGCCTGTATTTGAATGTTCCTCAAGCAGGAAGTAGTTTAGGACACTCTCATCTCTTGCCCTCTTGCCTCAGCATAGGGGTCTCGCAACTGCAGCATTTGAGATGGGTCACAGGGTAGCTTAGTGGTTTTGTGGCCCGACAGCATCACAACTGATGCATCAGTTAACCGCTTCAGATTTTTTTTTTGTGCGTGTGTGTTGATCTTGTCCTTCACCCATATACCTCCACCCAGAAAGAATGGCAGCTGTGGTTTTAAAGAGGTCCATGACCGCATGGAGCCCTAGGAGATGTGCCCCACTAGGCTGTGTTCAGTAAGGAGTACTCCGCTGTGGCACCACCGATACAGAAGTTGGTTCGCTGCTCAGAGCAATTGCAAGGTGGTAGTGGGGTGGGCAGACTAGCACATTGCACAAGTAGTTTAGGGAAGATGGCCCTGCAAGTAGTTATGGATCTGATGGTGTGAACAATAGTCTTAATTCTACACTATGTAAATATGAACCTCAGTAGACTTAGAACGAATGGTTGAGGAACAGTTTTTTTTTTTCCTTAAACTTTTGTTGCTTACTTGTTAACTCGGAGGACACTACGCCGATTAATCCAGCTTTTTTGAGCTGTTGGCTAATGGGGCTCTCAATAGAAAATGCTCTGTCGCACTCAGCCACTTGAACACAAGCTGATTAGTACCACGTCTGGTTTGTTTGCTTTTTTTTAAATAAAAAGGTGTGGTGTTTTTTTTTTTTTTTTCTTTTAAATCCTTTCTCAAAATGAGTCATTGGAGAACACAATCTCATTTGGTCTGATACCTGGCTATTGAGAAAGCTTCTTGGGACAATCTGAGTAAAAACCTTTCTCAAGTACAGCAGCAGCACTGTACTCGGGATTTAAACCCACAACCCTCCGGACTCTAGAGCCCGAAGCAGTACTCCATGCTGCAGTCCCTAAAATAAAAACATGTTTATTCAAATTTTGCTTCATGGTTGCCAGGATCTGAAGATTTTAATGCGTAAATAAAATTGTAATTTTTTTATTTTTAAGTGTAGGTGTTTTTACATTGTCTATTTTTGATCAGGTACGTCTTTTAACTGCGGAGTCCGTTTCAGTCATAGAATTAATACCACAACCTATTCAATTATAAAACATAGTTGAATCCTCTTCATAGCACATCTTGATTAAGCTGCATCTCTTCATCTTTAATTGTCACATGTTGTACAAGGGACCAGTTGAATAATATTTTGCCCTAAACTTTCCATTGGCTTTTACTACATCAAAAATACAAAACTGTAGCATTTAAATGATTTGTAAAATATGTTAGGAAATTATATTCCTCTTAACCAGGACACTACTCAATTTTAGGCTTCTAAGGAGATGTTACTTGAAAATGAGCACCAAATAAAGTCAAGCCCTTGTTAAGGCATACTATGTTATTTTTTTCTATGTGGTTCTGCTATCGTAGTAAGAAGTTGGCTTCAGGTTTTGCTCTTGCCTGTGATGTGAAACCGGGTCAGTCACCAGTGAGGGTAGGAAGTGCATGTTGGAAGAATGAAGTGAGAAAGAAGAACCTGAGGCAGCAGCCGTTCCCCAAAGAGCTTCACATGGGGCTTCGAAAACCTGCTCAGCAACTTTTCAGTTCTCCCAGAAGCCAATTCACCTCCCAGCATGTCTTTGGACCCACATGACCCCTCAGAGAGCATACAGACTCCACACAGACATCATTGAATTTAATCGGAATGTGGAGCTTTCCAGTTGGAGCTCTGCAGTCAGAATGATCCGAAGGAGAGGAGAACTCTGGGATTCCCGGTTGTGCACTTGACCCTCAGTCTGTGTAGAGAGTGCTTGTAAGAAGGTGCTGCTAATTGAAAGGTTGCAGGTTTCCTTTCCAACTCTTAACGTGAATCAATTCTTTACAGCCTAAACTGTACCAATATAACAGCTAGCTTCTCTTAGCTTCGGTGCTAGTATTAAAAAGAGACCTAGAAACGCTACTGACACACAGGCCCTCCATGACTGGAATTGAAGACCAGTGATACAGACAGCTTCCTGCTTGCTAGTTTGTATCAGGTTGTAAATATTAGTGCAAGTGATGGATGACACCTTAAATAGCATAATTAGTGGCTTTGAAGCTTGAGTGCTTGAGTAACACAAACAGAGCAACATCAGATACACAACCACTCATGCTCTGACTGGAAGAATTCAGCTATTTTCCATTGAGGTGTTTTCTCGTCTTAAAATTTCCAAGCCGACTATTAAGTGTTTGCTGACGAAACTGTGTAGGCATCACTCACCTCACTGAGAGGCTCAGGGTTTCGAGTCAGACTTCGTTAACCAGTGAAGTCCATTGAGAACCAATTTACAGAGACAGGCTGGAGAGTCCCATTTCTGAACCAGGGTGTTTCCTGGAGCAGTCAAAATCAGGTACATGTGTTTCACAGTGTGCCCTTCTAGCTGGGGGCATCTCCACCACAAATCTCAGAGCAGATCAACTTCTAGAGACCAAGCCCATTCCCAAGAATGAACTGTAGAAACAGTGCTTGAGGAAAGCCATAGAGCTTGTGACTTATTCTGCATTTTGGAGGTTTTACTTATCCTTATGCTGAGCAAACAAGCTTTCTTCTGTTTTAAATGAATCCTTGTAGAGATGGTGATGCTCATTCAGTTGTGTTCATAGACATGTGAGAGGCGGAAAGGATTTGCCATACTTGGGAATTGCATTAAGATGGACAGTTTACCTGTCGCCTAATGTATTTCACTTACAACAGGCTCTCTGCTTTATATATATAAATATTACAGGATTTGAATTAATTTCAAGAGAATTAATTTATCTTTTTCAAAAAAGATGATAAAAATATCACTAAAGAATGATGCCTTCAAAAACTCATTGTTGCAATTTATTAGTTGCAAAAAGATTTCAGAGAATGAGATTTCCGGTTTTTCACAGACGTCCACAAAACAGGCTGTTTTTTTTATTTGTGGATGAAATTATCCAGGAAGTTTTTTTCCCACCGCACCGTGAAGGCCTTAAATGACAGATAAACTGAAACAGTGGAAACGTATCTTGTAAAAAGATGCTACAATGCTTTTTCTTTACTCTTTGTGTTTTTAAACAAATGACTAGTAGGTTCTACCTGTTGAGTTTTGTAGTCATACCTTTGTGTGTGCTTCCAACACGCAGCCACTAGGTGTCACTGTGTGCTGTGGGAGACGTTCAGGAGCGTGGAAACCAGACAGACGAGACTGAAGTGTAGGACTGGTGCAGTTGGACAGTTTGCCAGCAAACGATTGTCTTAAAGACCCGTATTAACGTCTTGTTATTTTATAAATAAGAAAATAATGTCCCTATCCTGTGCAGTTGGAAGTATGTCTTTTGATATGCTGTCGTTGATCCTCCAGACTTGGTTGGTTTGGATGGTGTTTTTGTCTGCACTATCATCCTTGGAGCTATCCAGCACCCCCTTCTTTTCCTTCCATCTGTATGTGTGAATTCCAGAGTGTCGTTACTGTGGCACTTGTTTCCATACACACTGCAATCTCAATACAGACATTTGTGTTTGTCCATAGGAATATGGTTAGAAGCTCAAAGGTGCAACGTTGTACTTCAAAGCACTTTCTAAGCAATGATCTTTTTGAGGATTAAAGGTTCATGTTATTTTTCCATTTTAGGTTTTGATTCTTAGTAAAAAAAATATTTGCTTTTTGTGTTTTTGAAACTCTTCAATTGCACCACGCAGTGTGTGTAAAAGCACTAATTAAGGAACTGTTGTAATAATAACTACACACCTGTTTTATTTGCATTGACATATTTTTTAAATACTTTCATTTCCATAAATAAATCTGTCCTTCAAGAAAAAAGAAAAACTAAAGCTTAACAAAGTGTACTAACAAAACCAAGATAACACTATGCTGATACAGTGCAGAAATTGAAGAACTTACTGGCACAGCTTTTCAGATGAAGACTGCAGTACATTTCTACTTTTCTGGTTGATTATAGCGGATATCAACTATTTTGGTCTTTCTGTACCAGTCACAAAATTAAAGCAGATTTCATATCATGTGCTGTGGACTCACAAGGTGTCAAACTGTCAGCCAGACCCAGTGAGTCTTGGTAGGTGCCTCCCTGCTGCCAGGCTTGGCATCATTCCTTTTGCTTGAGTTTTCTTCATCTTTGGTCCAGCCAGAATCTTTAAAATAACTGTGCATCGCCTTCCAAAAGAGACAACTGCTGTTTTTATATCTCTCACCTCTCCAGGACAAAAAAAAAGTATGATTTCCTATTGTAGGAAAGCCCATCCATCCATCTTTTAACTGCTTCCTCCAGTTCAGGGTCACGGGGAAGCCTATCCCTGCAAGCAACAGGCACAAGGCAGCGTACAGCCTGGACAGGACACCAGCTCTTTGCATGGGCAGACAGACTCAAACACACACACTCACACCAGGGCCAGCTGGAGGAAAGTGGAGCTCCCAGAGGAAATCCAAGCGAACACGGGGAGAACATGCAAACTCCACACAGACAGCACCCCAGGAATTGACCCCAGGCCCACAGTGTTGCGAGACGGCAATGCTGACCACTATTCCACTGTGTCAACCCAGTAGGAAAGGCCTTTTAATAGAAATTTTATATAATCAAAAAGTCTTTTGTCTTTGTAGAAGTGGCAGAGAGCAGGAAGGTAGAGTAATGACTGCCCCTCTCTGTGGCCCATCTGCCCAGGCCCTCTCCCGAGCACCGTTCCTTCACGAACCCCGGCAAAGCCTGTAGGGAAGCTTGCAGAAATCAAACTGCCCGTGCAGTTTTCGGAGGTCTCACTCATCGGTACCCCCTCCCACGTGCTTTGACTCCAGGCATTTCACGTCTCCTTTTCCTTCTCCACTGGTGATGCCTGAGCCTGAAAATCATCTTCCACAAATCCACTGCTGTCTGACTGCAGGCTGTCTTCTCTCAGGATCATATCTGGGAAGGAACGCAAGAACAGTTACAAATCAGAGGGTCACTATTCGGCCCAGCTAGCCTGTTATGTAGTCACTAGGTAATTGACCCAAGGAAGAAAGAATACGGGGAATTGGCTTCAACAACATGGCTGTGCAGCTTGTTCCAGACTCCATTAACTCTTTGCATAAAGAAGTACTTCCTGTTATTGGTTTTAAAATTCAATTCCATCTCATAGAAACACAGGTGTGCTTCTGTTACTGTTACTTAGCTTTTGAAATTGACAACTGTTCCCTAGACACTTAGGCCCCCCCAGTCGGCTGTTGGATGAAAGCAGGTTGTGAGGCATTTCTACAAAAGCTTAAACACAGGAGGACATGCAAACTCCACCAAAACATGTTTCCCTGCTGGGACTGAACCCAGGACCCTGGCAATGCAAACTAGCAGGGCTAAATGCTCTGCTTTAACCCACAATGCCAGGATGATGATTATTCAACAGACCAGTGAAAGGTAGCACTGAAATTTACTTCAATTTGTGGATATCCCTTTTTTTTCAGATACCAACATTTAAAATCTAGGAGAGTATTTTTTGTATTCAGGTAGCAGTGAGTTCCTGCGGATGTGAGGAATTATGCAGTAGGTGTTAAGCCAGATCTCTGAATGCTCACAACCCAAGAGGTCCCCTGTGCACTCATGCCTGCGCTACCCTGAAATGTCCCCCCCACCCCCACCCCCTTCATGCACTGCACAGCCAGCCCTGGGAAATTATTTTTCAAGAAGAGAGGTGATGTGTGCTGAACTGGTTTTCTCAGTTCTCTGCACCACAGACAGCAAGGCCTGAAGCAACTTGCGCGCAGCTCGGCGTTTCCTGTATGCCGAGCTCCCCAGCTAATGAAGATTCACGGTTAAAACAGATTAACAACCCACTTGCCTCCTCAGCAAACAGAGCGATAGAGATCTCCAAACTGTAACAGTCACTTCTGAGGCCCCAGCTCCTGAGCGCTGAGCAAGGGAATGATGTCGTAGAGAGATCCTGTAGCCTAGTTTCAGTTTTTACTAAAACATACTGTGCGGTGCAAATTTTAACCTAGAATCATCCTTTCCGATTTCATGCAAAATGCATATCTCCGAGCCAGGACTTATAACAGCCATACTGAATGGTGTATTTACTTCTCTTTGTCTTTTCAGAGTCCAATCTAATAAACCACTACAAATGCAAATCAAGCGCTATATCAGCTGATCCATTTTGGGTGTTTTTTTTTTTCACAAAACGCCCCCAGATGTTCACTTTTTGATGTGAAGAGGCTGAGCCGTTTCATAAGACGTCAAAAGGCCAGGTCTGCTTGCGGTTCAGGAAGTGGGCACAAGAGGAGATGAGATTTCATGATGGCAAGGAAGGACGACAAAAAAAACTTCCTCGACCGCGATTCCATCCAGAGAAAGCATAGCATGTTAGAGGCTGGAGACATGTTAGAGGCCAGATTGGAATATTCAGGAACAAATAGAGTTGAAGAGGAAAATTATCACATTTACTGAAAATGCATCTACGAATGAAAGAGCTGTGGGGAGCACCATTCTGGGAATGGCACTGTGTGTAAAACAGTTTTAGGAACCTGTGGCTGAAAAGAGTTTACAGCAGCTGTTCAGTGGCTTCAGATTAAAGTGGTAACTGTGTAGATGTTCTCTTTATTGTCCTTCTGTCTGGCACCAGTCTTGATTGTCTCCTTGGCCCTGTTCTCTCAACACCCCCGCAGTCTGGACAGGCCTACCTCTCTGACGCTTCACTGCTGAGAGAGGGGAAGATGTCATGATGCTCCTGGTCTCTGATTGGCTGGACTCATCTTCCCCGGCACTGTGCACCTGTGTGAAAGCAGGGTGGGGCATTTAAAAAGGCTGCCTAAGAGGGGCTTTGGCTTCAGTTGGTTGTCATCTATCATGTAAAACCCCATTTCATTCACCTCGCCTTTGAACTTCCCAGAGGGAAAACATGGGAGTTTTAGTTACACCCAGAGAATCCTGGCCAGAGAAGGAACAAATCATGCAAAGAAAAAAACATTTCTTTTTAGTATTCAAATCAACTGCACTAGGTAATTTGTTCAATTAAATAGTTTAGAGATCATTTGCAATGGAAATTCCAGCATACTGCTGTTCTCAGGGACCAAAGTGGGCCATGCCTGACTTAGCTGAACCCATTAACTTAGTAATTATTCAAAGCTGTTATTTATTCTAAGTGCATTAACTGATGATTTAAGGATGACCTGTAAGACCTGCTTGAATGTTACAGAACAAGATTTGACGTTTTCATAAAAATAGGGAAGACATTTTTTTCTGTATGTAATGTGTTTTCGGTTTAATTAGTAATTCTGCCATGTCCAGTGCCAAACACACACGGAATTAAAAAGTCTCCCAGTTTCTATACAGCACAATAGATCTACCTGAAGTTATCTGAGCTCTGTAGGTGTTTTATTCCAAGTAACATAAATCATTATTTTTCAATTCATTTTAGTAACCTCTTGAGAATATGCACACAAGTAATGAACTAAGTTCTGTGTCATTTTTTATCCTAGCTTATTCTGTGTCTGCTTCTAATAAGCGCTCAAGAGCAATGGCCTTTGCCGTTGCCTCCCTGTGTGATGAAATATGTGATGAACTATCTAGATAAACTGATTTATCAGCTGTAATTCTGAAAAAAAAACGCCTTATTACTTGAAGCCAGAGAGCTTTCAGTTGTGTAATTTGAAACATACTATGTGACTGCAGAAATGTTATGTTCATAGCAGAATGTGCTCTAAATGCTATTCTGTAAAAACAGGTTTAGTTGTTGTTAAACACTGACTGAACTGTGTCCTGATGCCTGCAATGTGCAGTAAAAACACAATCAATTGCCTGAACTACAGTAAGTAAACCGATGGCTTTTGTTTCCCAGTTCAGGTATTTCAGGTATGACTGCATAGTTTCCCTGTGAAATGTAACACATGAATCAAAGGCAGCTACCTCCTCTATTTCGAAGGAGTTTCCCTGCTGTGGACTCTGCAGAGCACGCCTGAAAGAGGGGGATCTGGAGGGGCTCAGGTAACCCCTCTGCCCCACTCCCCAGGGGTGCTGGCTCTGGGAGGCGTCCGTGTCACTGGGGGACTCCCCATCCCATCCGGTCACGGTGATCTGGCAGGTTGGCTCCTGACCTTTGACCCCCGGGTTAGAATGAGAGGGATGCCTGCAGGTCCCATCGGAAGCATTTTCTGCCAAACAGGAAACCACGCTCCCCGACTCTCCCATCAACCCCCAGGCTACAACCCCCTCCGCGATCACTCCTGTCTCTCCGTTTTCAGGCGGGTCCTGCATTCCGCGTGGGGAACCCTCTCTCCTGGGGTCAAGGCTAGAGGGGATCTCAGGGTGTCTGAAACAAGTCTGTTTCATGAAGGGCTTTTTATGAACACTCTCCACAATCCTTGGGTGTATGACATCTTGCGTGAACTTGGCAGCTTGAGGCTGGCCGCTGGTATTGGGCTCTGTGCCACCCTGGTTGGGTTTGTCCCTCACGTCCTGTGTTTCCGAACCGCTGGTGCCCTCTGGGGCTGCGGGCACAGGTAACGCCAGCTCTCCGGGAGCAGGGTGGCCCTGTGTCGCCCCATCTCCGGAAGAAGCCGGGGTGGGCAGAGGTGCACCTGGGAGGCGGGCGGGATCTTCTCCGGAGCAGGCCTGTGCCAGGTGGCGGGAGGTCTCAGCCGCTTTGTGCCCCAGGACGAACTCCACCACGTTGGGCAGGCTGCTTCGTTTGCGGGGGCTGGCGCGGGGCGAGGGGCCGGGGGAGGCCAGGTCGCGGGAGCCCGTGTAGAGGCACATCTTGGAGACGGTGTCCTTCAGGCGGTCCACGGGCGACCTGGGCTCGCTCCTCACGCTGCTGAAGCGCATGCTGATCTTCTCGATGGGCGAGGCGAAGGAGAACTCGGGGGGCGCCAGCTTCTGGACCGGGGTCTTCGACACGTAGGAGTACAGCGAGTAGAACGCGTTGGCCATGGCGGTCAAGACCTCCACCTGCCGGAATCGACCTGGGAAGGAAAGAGAGAGCCCGTCAGCCTCTTCCCATCCTAACCCTTTCCAAAGCCTGTGCACTCCTCTATCCAGCATGAATTCAGCATGCACCCCCTCCATTTCGGATGCAAGCTCACTCAAGCTGATGACAGAGGCGTCTCGAACATTTCAGACTGGTTTTTGCTAACAGAGGATCAGATGAAGATGCTGTTTTTCCGGGCAAGAGCAACAGTCAGAAGTATCAATCTGGATTCATCCCAAGGATCCCGTGTCCTGTATGTCACTACCTTGGTTTACCGTACTAATCCGAGTTTCTATTTAAAGGGGTGTTTTTTTTTTGTTACTTGGGTGTTGATGTTAGTGTTGTGTTTTGGTTGTGGAGAGCTGGGCGTGCCAATCAGATATGATGCCACACTGTAAAAACATACAAAGAAAGGCAGCCTAGCCAACACTGCAGCTGTGCTCTACCTCCTCATCATAGGTATTATTTAAAAAATATTTTTTTTTCCCGTCCTAATGGATTCCACCAGATTATTACGCTATAGGCACGGCAGCGTCGATTGGGTTTTTTCTGCCCAAGAAAATTAGAAGTCGGCAGCTGGCACATGGCCCATTTCTGGGTGTAAAGTGCACGGTCAGAACCCAGGGCCAGATCCAACCGCGATACATTTGTGATAGATGCAGTTTCACAACAAGGTGATAGCTTGCTCCTCATATTTCAAAACACACACACAACTTGGAAGAACAATCTTGCCCGGGCTGCATTCCTCCAAAGCAATCCATACATCTAAAAACACACGGAGATTGAATTTGGATGCAGTGGAGCTTCGAAATAGCATATGGCGGTGATCTCGCACAGACTGTTTTCCAAAGCTCTGCTGGTTGACACTTGAACCCTCTCCCGTGTGCACACTTCTGGCTGCGATCAACCCTAATCTTCCAGGGGGAAAGATTCTGTAATCGATTGAGAACAAACACTCCAACCCACAATACAGGCACTGACATCGGAGAGTGCGTGTCTAGCTTTGATCTGGTTTGCAAACAAGGACGCAAATATTTAAGAAAAGTTCTTTTTTCAAATAAGAACAATGGCAACGTAAGTATTGTGGGGGCACTTGTGGAGAAAAGAGGAAAGCAGATGAAGCAAACAACGAAGATCCCCATCCCGCCGTACCAGCGACACTCAGCCAGTCGCCCGTGAGCACGCAGAGCAGCGGGAGCAGGGAACTCACTTGCCAGCGAGAGATCAGGGTCCTCCTCCTTGATCCGTCTCAGCTGGGACTCCAGGAAGAGGCGGAAGTTGATGCCCCCCAGCTGGGAGGGGAAGCTGAAAAACCGAGGGGGGATCTTGGCCGTGATCTGGGGCTCGTCCTGCCCGAAACCCAGGTTGTACAGAGTCTCCTCTGCGTCCTCAGCGCACATCTGGAGCACCTGCGACACACTGTAGTGGGGGGAGGGCAAGGGGGCACACATCTGTGAGGGCTGTCGGTTCTGAAGCAGCCGATGTGAAGCAACAGACAGAACAGCTGTCATTAAGACACCGAGCCTCATCAGCACTTCTCTCGAGAGGCTGTTTGGCGCTCTGCTTTCACGTTGAACTCTATGTGTACAGGCCACTGCACACTTTGTAAAGAGAATCCTAAAATAAGAGGTGCACACTCCTGCTGAATACTGAAGGAACACCTCTCGGATGTCTTTCTGTGATTTTGACATGGATTACATGAAGAAGTCCAAACTCCAAAGATTAACATAACCCCATAACCCACAACGAAACAAAAACAGGACTTGAAAAAATGGCCTAGTGCAATATATCTCGCCATCATTTTTGGCAAAGAACAATTAATTGAAACTTCATTTGACTACCGAACACAGTGCACTAGCTGTGGTGGCAGCTGTCTTTCACCAGCCAGTTATGGCTTCTGCCTTGTGAACGGTGCGCAGGTGTGCAGGGGGGCAGACGACTGTCTGTGATTTTCCGAAGGAAGCCGATGAGGCGGGGGAAGCCATTGACTCACCTGGAAGCTGACTTAGTGGTAGCAGTGGAAAAACCACTAGAGGCCATGCTGTGGCCCAGGTTCAGAAACTGGAAGGGGCTCAACTTCTCCGTTGATACCCTGCATACACAACAGGGCCCAGGTCAGTACTGAGGTGGGTGGATGTCCAGACTGGCGTGGACAAGACATGGTGTAGAAGAACTAATACTGTCAGTGTCCACATACAAAACTGGTTGTGTTTGAGCTCTTATGCTCAAAGGAAGTTGGTTGAAAATCCAAAAAACATTGGTTGGCTGTAACAAGAAGCCAGAGAAAACATCGAATGCGTGTTCAAAGAATTCCTTTTCCTGCAACAAAACAATTTGTGGCACACTGTTTGATTTTTATGTTAAGCATCCCTTACACTCTTCATGTATGAGATAAAACAATGAAAAATAGCAATCCTGAATCCTAAACAGGCCATTTTCATCTAGCCTTTTTCATATTTTAACATCAGGAGTTTGTTTTAGAAAACAAAAGTGCTATACACAAAAGTGTAGTGGATGTCCTGGAGCAGACGGTTTTGTCATCAGAAGGCCCTTACCCTCTCGCAGCTCTCTGTGGTGCACTGCAGTCTCTATTCCGTGGTCTGGGGGGGGGCAGCAACAGGGGGCACCCTCTGCAACACCCAGATGATAACACAGAGAGCAGTGCAGTAAGTGAAGATTGTGATCCCCAGCACACTGTAGTTACAGCAATCAGGGGAGCTCCAAGCAACATGTCAGATGGTGTTAGGGAAGGATAAACCAAGTCGTTTCATGACATTCGGCTCTCTCACCTGTACTGTTCCGTGCAGCCATGGTTTACGGTACCAGGCAGTGTGCATTTCTCCAGGGCAGCAGGAACACATTCAGCAGGTACATGTTCAGCATGTATGATATTCACATGCATATGTAGCGCAGAACGGTTTGGTTCACACTACTGATTGAGTGGCAGATTGAGTGCATGAGCAGAAAATAGTAGCTGCACTCAACTGGAGAATGATGTGATGAACTTGGTTTGGCTGTGTTGCTCCTATGTGAAGTAAGGATACATCAACAGAAGGACTTGTTCGATGGCTATGTATGTGTACTGAAGTGCTATTAGTCCTAATCTATAGAGAATTTTCATGCTACGGTTCCTACAATTTGTGTACAATATCAATTTTCAGCCAGAGAAAGAAAATCAAATATGAAAGAGATCAAATTGCTGTGTCCTGGTGACCTGTTAGCACTCGCATTTTAAGGAACAGCAATGTCACAGATGTCAGCTGCTATTTGCTGTGCTGTAGCAGACAGATTTGTCTGTTTTTCTGCACCTCTTAAAGGAGCCGAACGGACTGTGCTTACCCCACCACTGGGTCATCTTCACCCCTGTGCAGTGCGATTGCTGTAACACAGCAAGCAAGATCTGGTTAGGCTTTAAAACATGCAAGCTCATTCCCTCCCACCCCGTACTGTACATATATCAGTGCAGGCAAGCACAGCCAGCAGGCAATCATCCATGGTCAGTGTACAACTATAGAATACATCAAGGTCAATGGGGATGGAAGAGTGCTGAAGTTACAGGTGACCTTAGACAGAGTGCAGTGTTTTTTTCAGGTCTGGGCGTGGGCTTGGAAGCAGTCATTGTGATCTGCAGCAGAGAGGAAGCACTCTCGGGCTGTGCATTGTGAGTCGATAATGGGACTGATAATTAGGTTGTGCCTTCAGGGAAAAAACCCACAAAACATTATTTTATCTCAGTTCTCTTACACAGCACCTGAAAACTGATGAGTGTTATTTTATGGTGGGAGGGGGTAGTCCTACAAAAAACAATCAGTTCCCAGATCATCTCTTCTGTGTTACACTAACAAGGTAGTTAATCTACCTCGTTAGTGTAACATGGCTAATTCTGTCTCTTGCAGCCACATGCAATTTGCCCGGCCTGGCAACACAATTTGTCAAAGTAGGAAGTAATCATATTTGGAATAGAAAGTTTCAGTTTGCAGGCAGATGTGTCTTGGGGGATGTACTGTGTGTTTCAACTGGAGTGGGTCGGGACAGGACTTCACACAGAAAAGATCTGCTGGTCTCAGATTGTATTCTAGCAGGAAGATGAACATTCTTGGTAAGCTGATATTGCAGTAAACACATCAATGCTTCTTCTCAGGTGCACTGCAATGTGCACAGCAGAATTTCGATAGTGGATACACATGAATAGCAGACTGGCTGTGGCCATGCTCTCATGTGATTTGCTCAGTTTGGTACTGCAAACAGACATGAGCTTTAATCTGTGTTTTGAATATTATCAGGGTGATCAAAGTGGCAACAACAATATTGAGTCAAGAGGATGTCAAAAAGAGGAAGAATATAAATCCCCAAACAAAGAACCTATTGTTTGATTCACTGATAGCTGAGTCCAAAATCTCATTTGTTTTTAGCTACCACAATGTACAGGTGACTCACTGGTCAACATTGCTGATTTTAAAGTACCTGCTGGCAATGCAGCTTAGTTGCTTGTATGGATACGTAGACTGACTTGCACAACTTCTGCACATGTTGAAATAAAATATTCAGTGATTGTGTTCTATGATAGGATCCATGCGAATCACTAGGAAACGATTAGCTTCACGTTACAAAATATATATCAACAGCAACGTGTCTGGAGATTGAGCAATTCTACTGAACTAAACATATGGAGCAATCCTGGGAGGTACAGAGCCAAGGAGGAACATTATTCCATTGTGACCACACAAGCTCATGTTCCAGCTCACAATCCGGCTGAGCAAGGTTACAAGAACCATATCAACTACACCTCTGAATCTTTAAGAAAGTGTGATGAATTCCCTACCTTCTGCTCCCAGAATGAGATCATCTTCAAAACTGTTTCCAGCTTTCGGGAATGAGTCTGGAAGACAAAAGAAACATCCTTTTGTTTCTTTACAGAATAAGCACTGATGCTTCAGCAGTGCACTAATTAGGTGAGATATGAATGAGAAATATAATATATAATATAATAATTGCAGAATTTACAACAAATCATTGTGATGCCCAAGAGAAACATAACTGACCTTTCCGTTACACTTGACCTTTGACCTTTGAAGAGTCCCCCCTTACACACCTCTAACAAAGTGTTTCACCTTTCACCAACCAGCACTTTGTCCAGCACAAGACATGTTTGTCTCTGGTCAAGACAATGAAAACCCTTTATATGACAAATGTATATTGTATAGACGGCTCCTGTGGAACGTGCAATTTAAAGGACCCAATCAAGCAAACTGGCCTGTGGAATGAGTGGAGAAACATGCAGATTTCACCCAAACAAGTAGAAGTACGGGTGCCGTGAGGTCCCCATACTGCTAGAGATAAATACACTGTATTCAGTGTTTAGATAAGATGCAGAATCACATCCAGAAATTACATCCAAAAAGTCAATTTCAGGGTACAGTGAATTAATCTGCATACTGGTGGTTCATAGAGAGATAAGATATTCACTAACTCTTAGATTACGAAATGCATAGCCCTGGTCTGTATCATTTTATTTAAAAATGCTGTGAATACAAAATATGTGGCTTCTTAGCACATGTGCCTTGCTGTTCCCAGCAGGGACCTGGCAGAGATACCACAGTTGCAACACCTTTGTGTTCCTTCTATGCCACATTCCACAGCCTCGGCCCACGTTCCAGTTGCAGCACCTGGCTCCAGTAAGTGCTACGGCTTGTTCCAACCGCACACAGGTATGCTTTGACATGCCCGCCACTTTATGGCACACCTACCCAAAGTCAGATGGTTTGCATCTTCTGGGGGCATTTCGTACCTGCAGGGAAATAAAAAGCATGCAAACAGAAAGCACATGGTTTCAGCAAAAATGAATAGTGAATAGACGGTAGAACAGACCCATTCTGTTACTGGTCCTACATCAATTCACTGTTCTACACTAGGGTTGGAGGTTGGAAAAAACTGGGGTCTTTTAGATGTAATTCTGCCCGAGTGCTTAATGACATCATTCAAGCATTTATCTGTTTGCAAGTCTTTGGTGATTCAAGAGTGCGAGTTCCTGCCCTAGTCTTGGAGAAACTGTGCCTGCTGGCTTGTGCTCACATGACTGGTTTCAGTTTACTATTTGGGGCATATTTGGAAATTTGCTTTCAGCTCTTAAAAGATCAAAAGAGAGGGATCTGTCCTAGGTATCAAACCTGATCTGAGCACTGGACATTCGTGTCTTAAACAGAGGTTCCCAACCCTGGCACCAGGACTGGGCACCCTGCAGATGCAGCGACCCCAGCAATAATATTAATGCTCTGGGATTCCTCAGTCCTATTTTCCATCAGTAAAGACGTACATTTTTTCCTGTTTACCAACACACCTACTCTCTCACTTTTCCGAATTCAACCAACAAAGCGACTTAAACGGCAGAGATTACAGTAGCCTGCCATTACTGATTGATTGCTACGCTTAAAACCCGAACGTCTGGAGCTCTCCGGAGCCAGGATGATGATTAGGGACAGTCGACAGTTATGGTGCACACAGTGCTGTCCGTAAGTCTTGTAGGTGAAATTGACGGAGACTGCCTGCCAGATATTATCATTCAGACGGGACGCCCGCGAGTGCCCTCGGGCTGTAAGTGTGTTCAGGGATCGTTTACCTCCGAGTTTTTTATGGGCGGCTCGTGCGGGTGCTATTTTTACCACCCGAAAACTTCCGCTGAGGTTTAGCTGAAAGCAGAAACTGTAAAAACTCCCCCCCCCCCCCTTTTTTTTTTTTCACACACACAAA